TGTGAAAGACTGTATTACTGTACTGTGTAAAAAAATAATTGCAATGCTGAAAAAGCATTTTCAGTGACAATGTTTGGATTTGAAATCAAAATAATGGATAAATGTTGTGTTTGTGGTAAACAGCCACGGATCAGTAGCGGACTCCTGTGTGAAAGCTGCTTCTCCTCTCACAAGAGTCACCTAAGAGGGGAATTCCCCCCATTTTCAAAAATGAAATTCAGGCCCTGAATAAATTTCTAAAAATCCTGATTGGAATATCATTATAAATAGGTATAAATTATAAAAAGAAGGCTTTGAAAAGATCGGTATCAGTGATCGGTATCGGCAGATACTGCTTTCTGTGATCTGCGATCGGTGATCGGCCTCAAAAATCCTGATCGGAGCACCCCTATTAATTACTCACCCTCATTGTCGTTCCAAACCCGTAAGACCTTCGTTCATCTTCAGAACACAAATTAAGATATTTTTGATGGAATCTGAGAGCTGTCTGACCCTGCATAGACAGCAACGCAACTGAAATGTTCCCAAGTCCAGAAATGTAGCAAGGAGATCGGTAAAATAATCCATTTGACATAAGTGGTTCAACCGTAATTTTACGAAGCTACAAAAATACTTTTTTGTGTGCAAAAGAAAAAAATAACGACTTTATTCAACAACTCGTCTCCTCCGCATCACCCTGTAGAGCCATTTTGGAGAATATCCGTTAGACGTAAACAACGTATGCTGTTCTGTGTCAGCTGCGTCACGCCGGATCTGTTTCCTACGTTGTTGTGATTTGATCTGAACGAAAACAGCGTATCCGTGTGACGGATTCCATTAAAAATATCTTAGTTTGTGTTCCGAAGATGAACAAAGGTCTTACGGGTTTGGAACAACACGAGGGTGAGTAACTAATGACAGAATTTTAATTTCTGGTTGAACTAACCCTTTAAACTCATCGTGGCGTTCAGCGCAGAAACTGCTCTCATGCGCGTCCACTTGTTGTTACATATTAAATATTGTTACGGTCATGTTTACATAAGCTCTTTAATGAGATTTGAATTCTCCACTGTAAGACGACCTCATGCATAATACAGCATTAAATTTTACTCAATTCAATACAGCATTTCAATTCACGCAGAGAACACGCGATCATACAGGATACAAATGCACGCTTTGTAAGATTTCACAGCTGGATCCATCTAAGTCTGCAAGGTTTGTGAAATTAAATGTTTATTAGACATTCAAAGATCTGTTTAAATCATATAAATGCATATTTGCGGAATGCTGATGGTAAACGAGAAAGTATTATTTTTGCTTTTCTCTTGCTTGTAATATAAGATAATTCGTTATAATACTTTTTTGTATACCTTTTATTTTCTTTGTTTAGCATTCTATCTGATTATTAGACAGACTTCTATCCCTATTAGAAAGAACTGTTAAACTGTGACCGCAAACCATGAAGAGGGCGAATGTGAGTGATGTGCTGCTCAGGTGCTGCTGTTCTCAGCGCTGTCAAAATAAAAGTCCTGCCTCGAATACATTGACCAAACAGAAAAGTATCGGGTGATACCGATATTTGAAAAATTTAAAATATCGGAATATATAATGGCCTTGCCAATATATTGGTCGACCA